AAAAAAATAGCCAGGCACTGTGGTTGGTGCCTATAGTCCCAGCTACTTGGGAGGCTGAGGCAAGAGAATCGCTTAAGCTCAAGAGTTTGAGTTTACTGTGAGCAGTGACACCACTTTACTTTACCTAAGCGATAGCTTGAGACTCCGTCTCAAAAAGAAAAAAAAAAGGAAGACACACAGGGAGGGGAACTGCCATCACTAGGGCACCCTTCCTAAGCCTTCGCTCTCCTGTTCAGCTGCCCCAGTGACAAGGAAAGTCATGTAGTTAGGGAACTGCTGTCACTAGGGCACCCTTCCTGAGCCCTTACACTCTCACATCCTGCTGCCCCAGTAAAAAGCACTATAATTCTGCAGCTTATGGGAAGGTGCATTGGGCCAGAGCTCAGGGGATGGCTCCTGGGGCTGTGAGCTTGGTACAGACAAGTGCTCTCTGGGTATATCTGGATGATGGACCTCTGCAAGGCTGCCTCAAGCTCTATCTCATTTTCTAATTTCTGGAGATGTTCTAGATCCATTAGGACACATCAGAACCACCAATGATTCAGAAACAGTCTCTCCTGGGACCAACACCCACCCCTCACTCATCATCAGAGAGTGGCCACTCTGGCTGGGAAACCACAGGCCTATAGATACATCACTTCGGGATGTGCCTGATGCTGCTGTCCAGATGTCAGCATCCCACCAAAAAAACCCTCACATGTTACAGACAAGTTCCACAGGAATATTAATATCTCAGGTTTCAGGAGTATTATAGGTTTACAATACACACCAACCATATGTTTTTCTATAACATGTGGAGACCATAGTTTTATTTCTTCAAACGGACATAGCTGGCTAGGCCCAGTGGCTCACATCTGTAATCCCAACACTCTTGGAGGCAGAGGCAGGTGGATCCCCTGAGCGCATGAGTTCCAGACCAGCCTCAACAAGAGGGACACCCATTTCTACTAAAAATAGAAAATCATAGCCGAGGGGCCTATAATCCCATCTTCTGGGGAGGCTGAGACCAAGAGGACTGGTCAAGCCCCAGAGTTTGAGGTTGTTGTAAGCTATGACGTCACGGCACTCTACCCAGGGCGAGAGTAAGACGCTGTGGCTAAAATAAAATAATAAACTGACACGGTACTAAGGGCAGAAAACATTCTCTTCTTTTTTAATACATTACTGTCCCTCTCTACAAATTTACCACTAAATTACGGACAAAACCTTAGGCGCTTTGAGTAAGAAAACAGAAATGGCTGAGAAATAGATTTTAAAAAAGCCAACCTACAAAACTGAAAATTCTGAAAGTGCGACCGACTTGAGGCTACACCTGTCCGTGACCAAACGGTCCGTGTGGGGGGGGCCTTCCTGAGAGACGGAGAGGGGACTAAATGTCAAAGACAGTATCCCGCCGGCCTAGTCCACGCCGACCCCCATCACCCGGCCCACGGCACTTTCCCGCCGTTGGCACTTACCGCTCGCGTCCCCGCCGATCTGCGAGCGCTCCGCGGGTGGGGCCCACTCCTGGGGCTCGAGGCGGCCCCCAGGGGCACAGCAGGGGCCGGGCTGGAAGTCCCGGGGCGGTCAGGCCCGAGGTGGGGGGGCGGTGCGGGCGGCCCAGCATCTGGCTGCGGCCGCGCCTGGATGCCGCGCAGACACTCTTGCAGCATGAGCTGCGTGCCGGCTTCGCTGAGCCAGCGCAGGAACAACTCGTCCACTTTCATCTTCAGCACCGGCTGCAGGACCTTTCCGGGCGGCATGGCTGGCTCAGACCCCCGGGGCGCGCCCCCCAGGCCCCCGCGCCACGGCCGAGCAGACCCTGGCACCTGAGGGGGCTGAGGGGCGCGGGGTGGCGGCGGAGGGCGCCGCGAGCCTCGGGGCTGCGCGGACTCGCGAGACCGGACCCGGGAGGGGCGCGGCTGGGACCGCGGTTGGGCCCGAGCAACTCAAGACAGCTTCAAAATGGGCGCGCCGGCCGCGCTCCCACACACCGGTGCCCGCGTTAGCGTCATCGCGCGCGACGACAGCTTGGCAATGATGTCATCGCGGCGGCGACGGTGCGGCTCGGTTTCCCCGCGCCTCGCTGCGGCGGAGCATTTCAAGGAGACTTTTGTGGCCCCGAGGGGCAGGGGTGAGCAAGGGGAACAGGAGGTCTTTCTACGCTTAGGTTTTTTAGGAGTGCGGCCCAAGAGAGCTAGACGGCATTAAGGACCGGGAGGTGCGAGCATGCGCGATGCACGCCTGGCGGAGCAGTTACAGGGGCAACTGGCTAGATGAAGCATGCGCCGTGAGTGCCACAGAAACAGAGTTTTGGAGTCCGTTCGGTCGAGCATGCGCAATGCGTGCACGCCAGAGCCGGGGTGGGGAGGTTTGAGTGACCAACTCGATGGAGCATGCGCCATGCGTGCTGTGGAAGCGCAGTTTGAGAGGCCGGTGGATCGGGCCTGCACACGTGAGCGCCCCCGGGAGCGCGCCTAAGGCCTAGAGGTGTGAGCGCCGAGAGAGGCGGGACATGATGAAGCTCACGCGCAATGGGTGGTGCCGTGCGCAGGAGCGAACATGCGAGGTGCGAGCCCTGGGAGCGCGCTCGAAACCTAGAAATGCTTTTTCGATAAAACGTGCTGTTTCTGACCGAAGCACCCCGTTTGCAGCAATTTTGTTCATCCAACAGGAACGATAGGTTGGAGGAGTTCGACTTCTTTTTTTTTTGAGACAGTCTCACTTTATCACAATCGGTAGAGTGCTGTGGCGTCACAGCTCACAGCAACCTCAAACTCGTGGGCTCAAGCGATTCTCTTGCCTCAGTCTCCCATGTAGCTGGGACTGCAGGCACCCGCCATAACACCCAGCTGTTTTTTTTGTTGTAGTTGTCATTGTGGTTTAGCAGGCCCTGGCTGGGTTCGAACCCACCAGCCTCAGTGTTTATGGTCGGCGCCCTTGCCGCTGAGGCGCAGGCGCTGCCCGGCAGTTCGACTTCTTTAAACACTGGCTTTCTGGGATAGCGGTGAACGGCTCTGATAATTGCAAAAATCATCATCTCTGTCTAGGGAAGTGATATTATTTAAATGCCTTTTTGCCCAAGCAGTACTTTATTATTATTATTTCTACTGTTAAGTGTCTGCAAAGGCAGCGCGTTGTCATCCATCCTGCGCATATGTGCCTCTTTCCCATAGATCTTGCCCTTTTTTGTGAGATCTTTTCTTTCTTTCCTTTTTTTTTTTTTTTGGCCAAGGCTAGATTTTGAACCCACCACCTCTGGCATATGGGGCTGGCGCCCAACTCTTTTGAGCCACAGGTGCCTCCCGAGATGTTTTCTTTTTCTTAGGTTTATAATAAAGGGTTCCCCATGGTTTTGCCCCCTTTTAGCGGAGATTTCAAGGCCTTTTCTGCACTGGGTTCTCCACTTCTGAGCTGTGTGGGTAGAGCCAGACTCACCAAATAAAGCAAGATGGTTGCAAACTCGGTTTGTGTTTCATAACTGGAGATAAAAAATCCTTAATACACCTGGTTGTAAGGGCACTGTCAACCAGGGAAATCTATGATGTTATTTTTATTAATTGGGAAGCAAATGTTTGTGTGTTCCATGCCATCATTTCTGGCAGGAAGTAGATACACACTCAGATGTCTGAGATTACCATGTACAGACATGTCTTCAAAGAATCAACAGTGCTTTTCACTCTGGGTCTTTCAGTTTGCTGTAAGTCACTGTTGGGCTCATCAGCATGGTTTTGTGGGAAAGGGCTCCTTTGAGCGCTGCACAAGAGGGCTTTATCTGCTCGGGGCACAGCGGTGGGGCTCAACGCCAAGGGGACAGAAATAAACTCAGGGGCACACAAGGAATGTGCCTTCGGCCTGTGCTGGGCCTGGGGCCCTGCCTGAGAGAACAAAGAGCTGCTGTGGGACCCCAAGCCTTGCCGGGCTTAGGACAGCTGAGCTCAGCCTCAACAGGGGCCAGATTCTGCTGACCACTCTGATCCTGGCTAGCTGAGGATCGGGGAAGCTTGGTCCGCTGGGTCCCATCCATCTTGTAGGAGTGGTGGGTGGTCACCAGAGCTGTCCTTGGGAAGGGAAGGGAGGTCAAGGTGGGCAGCAGCAGAGAGGAAGATTCCAGAGACTCTGCATGGGTGTAACCTCAAGGGTGCTGCCCATCTCCCCTGAGAGGTGGGAGAGGAGAGAGCCAAGTGGTCGGGGAGGTTAAGAGTCACCTTCCTTCACTCACCTGAGCCCAGGTCCCTGGGAGGTAGCCTGCAGGCCCCTCACAGTGTGGTTCCTACACCTGCTGTTCCAGCCCCACTTGGGGGCTCAGAAACGCCTCACCTCACGCCAGGACTTGCAGTGGGCCTTGGGAAGTTGGCTGCACACTTGGGTGACACTGGCCCCATATACCAGAGGTGGAGGGTTCAAACCCAGCCCCAGCCAAAAACTGCAACAACAACAGCAACAAAAAGTTGTCTGCACACTTCAGCTGGACACACAGAGATGAAAAGACACCTGAGAGGAGGATCCTGGGCTGACTCTGACCTGTAAGCCACTTGCTGCCACTGCCAGAGGTCAAAGTGACCGAGTTTATATCTGCCACTTACATTCAGCCTGAATGTCCTTTTTTTTTTTTTAAATCTTTTATTTCAGTGAACTTCAGACCAGCCACAAATGTGCACATGTTGGATTTTGAGTCATTCCCTCTCCAGCGGGAAGTGAGGACTTCCGTGGAGTCCTCCTCTGTTCTTGTCTGAGGGGCTCTTGCTGGTGTTACTTATGCATTCTGTCTCTCTCTGGTCCCTTCCTCATTTTTATTTGCTTTTTATCTTTTTTTAATTGCTGACTGACTTCCTCTTTCAACATTTGATTTTGTTTGTTGCTCAATAAAACGTCCTTTGGAAAACTTTTTAAGTGCAGGGATTTCTCTTCTCCTGTGTCCTGTTTGTGTGTGCCTTGAAGGTGGGCAGGGCAAGCAGAGCTGTGGGCAGACTTGGGCCATCGTGGCCATATTGCCTGCTCTGTTACCTCACTCTGAGCTGCCGCCAGCATCCCCTTACCCCCTTCCCTTCTAGATTCAGACCAATCCAGGACAGGAGAGGCTGTTTTCACTAGAGTAAAATAGAGACAAAACAGGGCAGCAAATGCCTTTGCAGATTCTTTTCAACTGAGATGGTTTTATGATATTTCCTTCTATGTCCATGCAGCCACAAAGACAAAAACGGGAAGAAAAAATCCATTACAAGCTTCCTATCTGGCTAAACATGGTGGCTCAGGCCTGTGATCCTTGCACTCTGGGAGGCTGAGGCAGGTGGACTGCTTGAGCTCAGAAGTTTGAGACCAGCCTGAGCAATAGCGAGACCCCCATCTCTTACTAAAAATAGAAAAGAAAAACTAGCCAGGTGTCATTGCAGACACTTGTAGCTACCCAGAAGGCTAAGGTGGGAGGATCACTTGAGACCTGGAGTTTGAAGTTGCTGGGAGTTATGATATCACCATGGCACTCTACCCTGGGTGACAGAGTGAGACTGTCTCAAGACCAGGAAAAAAAAAACAAAAAAAACTTCCTATCTGAGCAGCGTTTTAGATAAAATACCAAATGGACCTGGTAATTTATAACATGATTTTATTTTGTTAGTGCTGATTTACTTAAGCTTTAAAAGAAGAAAAAGAGTTTGAAGAAAAGAGGAGGAATGAAACTGATTCATAGATGTTTAAAGAAACTAAAGAAAACTGGAAAGTCTCAAATACCCATAAACAAGAAGGGTGTTCAAATGTGCCCATACCCTTTGCTTAACAAGGGAAGGGCCTTGCAGAAGCCATGTACATGCGTGTGGCTCTTTTCTGTGTGGGGAACGTTTTCAGACACCTGCTCACTTCCTTGACTCACTTTCCCATCTTTGCATGATGACCTTTGGGGAGCTCAAGCGCCAAAGGCTGCATGACAGCCCTGAAGGCCACCCCTGTGGACCCCGAGCCTAGTCTTTGCATGTTTTGTGCGTCTTCAGCTGTAACCACTCGCTGGTAGCTGCTGTCTGCAGCAGTGGCCAAGCTGTGGCCTGAGTAACCTGTGAGGAAGAAACGTGAGCTAGCACATCCATGACACTGCTGAAGGACTTGGAAGCACAAAGCATAACCAGGTTTTGTATCTAACTGCATTTGATGCCCTAGACGAGAAGGAGGCCAGTTCAGAGGGGAACGGGCCACCTGCAAGCAGAACTTGAGCCTATAGGCCGGCCCAGAAGTCACAGCACTGGGAAATGAGTTGGTTTTTCATCAAGTCAGAGGTGCATCACTTACGACACAACCTTGGGGAAAAGAGCAGATATGGGCTTTGCTATTTCAGTTGAGACTCCTGGAAGAATTAAGTTGGACAGATAGCTACCTTAGAGAGGGAGAAGTCTGGTGTGTCCCCAGGACCTAGCTCTGAATTCAGAGAAAGTCCATCCCAGGCTGGCCATGCTGCCCATGGTGTAGACACACAGATGAGAATGCCTGAGTGTGATTTCAGCAACTGGATTTAGGCTCAAATGTAGGCTGCAGAGCCATTGGAGGTTTTGAGCTCAGATTGAAAGGATTGAATGGGTCTGAGGTATCTGACCTGGGGGGCAAGGAGGTGATGAGAACTTGCAGCCTGACTTAGGGTCCTGGGGCTGTCAGGATGAAGTGCTATAAAGGCCTTTAAATGGCACACATGTGTCACGTCCTGGAGGTCAGGAGTCCAAACAAATAAGGTGTCTCAGGCTGGTCCCTCCTGAGGCCTGTCTCCTTGACGTCCCCGTCT